CCATACAAATTGTTCCCATATTTACATTTTTACGGATTTCTAAATTATAAATAAAATTTGACGAATGAATGATAATTTTCAGTACACTTTGTCTCAAACCTGAATGCTTTAACACTTTGGTTGGATTCCGGAAAACAGCGGCTTTGCTTTGGTCTCCGTTTAAGCCGAACATTAAACCTCTAATCAAACAAAACATTACTTTTCATTAATTGTTGACAATTATTTAAAAAACTCACAAATAAGTGACATCTTTGGGAGCCCTCAATGCAAAGCTGGTCTCCGCTGCCGAAGAGAGTATGATATTCTGTAATACAGATATAGTTAGCAAACAACTGATGAAATGTTTGTTGAATACAAACTCTTGATTTAGTCTTTTCAACCAAAAGCTGTGAGAATGCAAACAACTCTCGTCTCGAAGACTGATCTAAAAGACTGTTTCCATAGTTTATTTCGAGACCAATGCCTTTGGATATTGGCTTTAATTCATACAAATATGATTTTATGGATAATTGTTTCAATTAAATGATTATAAATGATATTATTAATGTTAACTTTTCAACCGCGCAGAATACTAACCTGTGTTTAACAACAAACTCAATTTACACTAATTTAGCGTAAGTTTCACTGGTAATAAATTTACCGATTCTTAAAATAGTAACTCACCATCTATGGATAATAAGTCATATTTCTTGGCGTTTTCTGAATGACTCTAAACATAACAATCAATTAATGTCTCAATTAATGGACAAAGTGACCATTATTTAAATGGCTAAGAATTTTATCATTGAGTGGTTCTATGGATAATAAGTCATATTTCTTGGCGTTTTCTGAATGACTCTAAACATAACAATCAATTAATGTCTCAATTAATGGTAATTAATGACTGAAATACCAGTCGATGTGTTTGGATGTGTTCATCGACTCTAACGTTAAGACGACTTTTAATGGATATATCTTTCAAACTGATGGCCAACTCTTCTAATTTAATTGTCGGCGGATTTGGTATCTAATCGTGGATTCAATGAAATGTTAATAATTAAAGACATGAGTTGTGGACCGAAGATGTCATACATTTTGGATATCATCTGAATCGATGTCAACAGTGAAACCAATTGTCCGAAAACCCACTGATTGTCACAAAATTAATACAAAATTAGTGTTTGTTTTGTAATGAACTTCAATTGAATGGCTGTTCACAGTATATATTGACCAGCAGTTAGACAAACATCCATTCATTTGCCGCACACCTGACCGCCGGTCAAATCAGTTGATCGTTTGGTCACTTCATACTGACATTAGTGGTCAGGTGTGCGGCAAATGAATGGTCAATACATTTGCTGTGAACAGCATTTCCTGTAATCCCATTCAATTGTAGTGTAATTCACGCAAAACACATACAATTGACGGCTCGTCTCAACTTCTCTTCAATCGTTTCCTTTGAATCAAATTTTTTGTTTTTATAAATAATTAAATTTAAATCCATTTTCAAAATTCAATTTGCATTTTGCGATCAAAACGTGTTTTCAAAACAATTATTTGTTTACATTTTTACTCAATATTTGTCACTATATATATGAATGGCATTCAAACGATGCCAAAAGGGCTTAACTATGATTAAAAACACTTATATAAAAGGGACCAAAAGTTGTGCTCAGCTTTGCTTTACTTTGTATTGCTATGAAATATAGTACTAATAATTGAGTGATTCGTGCCTTTTATATATGAAAATGTGGTTAAAGTGTTATTTTATTGTGTAATTGAATGAATGATTTGAATGTTTGGCGCAAATAATGATGGCTTTGAAGACATTGAATGACACGTTGAAGACATCGATGACTACCGATGAGGACAACCGAAGATCATTGACAGACAGTCCGTGTCTTGTCTTTGAAATGCTCTTCGCTTTGGAGGGAATTAATAGCGATTTGAGTGCGAAGAGAGGCGAAGACAGTTGTATCCAATGGGAACCCATTGAATGCCACAATTATCTCCTCAACGGATCCATTAGTGTCTCGGAAATGAATTTAATGAATGGATTACTTTCGGTGGCAAACCTTTACATCCGTATCAATCACTTCATTCAGAAGTATAGTTCAGGTATTCGTTCAATAAATTAGTGGTAAATTGATTTAACTGTAAATCTATGAAATGATTGCTTAAGACTTGAATCCATACAATCGACGATTGGCTCAAAGTATGGATAAATCGGTTATTGATTACAGAAATGCTTTGATTGAAGTGGAGATCGATATTCACCGAAACCCCGAC